TATGTTATATAATTCAGGTTTAAGATGGTGGCTTTACCGTTCTGATTGTGTCTTGCATTGTACTTTCTTTCCCTCTACAGGTTACCTCATTAGCCTGAAAGATCCAGAGCTGGCACTGGCTATAGAAGTGTGTCTTAAAGGGCAGATGCTGGCCTTCACCTGTGACAATTATGCAGATGAGAGGGTACTGCAGGACCTCATGGCCAAAGTGTTTCCAAGAGGCCGCAGACCTGCCATCATAACCAGCCAATTCCTCCCACATGTCCACGATACAAGGAGGAAGTGAGGACATGTACATTGTTCATATAAAAGTGTCTTAAGTTTTAGTTGGACATTGCCTGAAATGAAAGCATTAGCCTTGAAGTTTCCCTCCTACACAGAGTGATACTCCACTATTTTTAAAGTTACACATCTTCCTCTCAACACATTAACTCAAGCTGAAGACTGGTGCAATCACGTCCAAGATAATTAAATGCTACATTTTGTTTAAACTATCACAAACTTCTGTTGTCAGGGCTGTGAATCACCCTGAATACCCCTCGGTGCTCCAAGCTCTCGAGATCGAGGACCCAGTTGTTGCCAACTGCCTGATTGATCAAAGAGGAATAGAAAGCATTCTACTCATCAAGGTAACGAGGGATTTCTTCACAAGAAAAGTCCCAGATTAATAAGATAATGAATAAATTCCTTTGTTGCCATTTTATGTGAAGCTGAGGTAAGCGATGAAGCTGATATTGCATTAACATGGATTTTGGTGTGTGTGTCTCTGTCTGTGTAGAATCGCACAGAGGCTCGAAGAGTGATGCAGGACAAAAACCCTCCGCGCAACTGTAACCTGGCCTTCTCTAAGGATGGAGATCAGATCTACAATAACCGTAGCTACACTGCAGAACAGACCAGAGCCAACTGCCTCTCAGGAGATGTTGAGGAGGAGATCAGGTGTGTGTCTGTGTGGGGTGCATGTGTGCGCAAATATATATATATATATATATATGTGCCGGCCAGTCAAGTTCTTCCACACCAAACTTCCCCACCTACATCTTTGTAAACCTTGCTTTTTGCACTGGGGTACAGTCATGCTGGAACAGAAAGCCTTCCCCAAACTGTTCCCACAAAGTTGGAAGAATAGAATTGTCCAAAATATTTTGGTAAGCTGAAGCATTAAGATTTCCCTTCACCAGAACTAACCAATACTTTTGTCCAAACAACACAGTGGTTGTAAAAACCTGTGCTTTACTGTTCTATCTTACTTCACTGTGTCTGTTATCTTTCTTCTCAGGCATTTGCAGAGAGAGATGGAGAACCAGAAAGCTCAGGCAAGTCACTTGGAGCAACAGATGAGAAAGTCAGATGATGAATTCAAAAAGAATGAAGGGCTGCGGAGAAGAGCTCACACAGACCAGAAGAAGACTATGGTAACTATTTTTACCTCTTACAAATAAGTAATTATCTCATTTGGAAATATTGAGATGATGGATTTATTCATGAAGTTTATTTGAATTATTTAGGATAGGGCCACAAAACTGGAGCTGGAGCTGACGGACCTACAGAACGTGGAGGAGCCTCAGTCAGAGGACCTAAACCCTCTGGTTTGTTCAGATCCACATAGTTGTATACATAGATATGATTCACACCATGTGCTGCTGTTTAAATGTCGCTGTCACCACCAGGAGGAGGAACTTCAGGAGATCGTCACTAAGATCTCGAGCAAGCGTGCAGAGTACGACCAGGCCCGAACTCAGATGACCGATCTCAAGGCATCCTACGAGAAGGCAGAGCAGGAGTACAAGCAGCACAAAGAGAAGATCAACAGCATCGCAGAGGACGCTGACCCTATCAAGGTACAGTCATACTCCAGGCCTAAGGTTTATGATGTTCACTTACTTACTTTAGATTTCGATTAGCATCCTTGGTTAAAAACATTGCAATGCTTAACGAAGAATTATTTATTTAACATTCGTGCACACAAGATGCCTGAAGTCACATTTGATTACTTGAGTTTTTAATGGGTGTAAAGCAAGTTTTTTTTGACTACAGGAGGAGCTGAGTAAGGCTGATCAGGAGGTGATGAAGTGCAAGCACCACAAGAAACATTACGACGAGAAGCGCAGCACCCACCTCTGTAACATCCAGACCCTCGAAGCCAACCTGCAAAGCAAGGAGCAGGAAGTTCAGGTCTGATGAACAGATATTTGAGGGGTGACAATAGACAGATGAGTTCATCACAGGACTTAAAGCAAAAGCACAATACAGACATTCTTTTTTTCTTTTTTTATACTTTGGGGCCTGAGTGGAGGGAGGTGTTACTGAGTGTGGTTCTAGTTTAACATGCATTTTGATTTATTGCTTTACTCTGTGGTTCAGGCATCTGTATCCAAGGCTTCAGAGATCTGTGCAGAGCGCCTGGAAGTGCGTCGGACAGCCAGAAGTCTGGATAGTGAGATCAGCCGTCTTAAGGTTAAGATCTCCACCCAGCAGGAACAACAAGGAGACCGTGAGGAGATTGTGAGGTAACTTACCTCTACCCCTGTGATAAATAAAAACTTGCAAGAGGCTTTCTTGTCAGCAAACTGCAGTGCTGTCATTGAACCAAACATAAGTTGATTCATGTCAACATGTAAAGCTTCCTCTCTCTTCGCTGTATTCCACATGCAGACAGTACCATGAGGCTCTGGAGAACTACAAGAACCTCACACAGCAAATGAAGAACCTCAACAGCTTCATCAAAAGCCTCGACAGCGTCATGAACCACAGACTCCAGGTTTACGCTGAGCTTAGGAGGCGAGTTGTCAAATCAAAAAGATAATAAATTACCTGACCATGACCCTGGCTTTCCCCCTTGTTTATAACATTCTTTCCTCTTTCCCCCTTCATCTGATCTCTTCTCTCTGTGTCTCTTGTCTCAGGTTCCTCTCAGCCCGTTGTAAATACTACTTTGACAGCATGCTGGCCCAGAGAGGATACACTGGAAGCATGACCTTTGACCACAAGAACGAAACCCTCTCCATCTCAGTAAGAGAACCTTTCGATTCGTCAGGGGGGAAATTACGAGTGGCCGTGTTGACAACGGTTTTGACACTTCACCAAAGCAAAACTGGAAGAATACAATTATGTCAGGATGCTATACACATAGAGGATGCCAACAAAGATGGCAACAGATTCAGGAGCTTTGGGCGATGAGGACAGACACCGGTTGTCAGTGTGCTTTCCACCTGTGGTGTTTCGTCCAGTATGCTATACCCAGACACCACCCCTCGCCTGACTTTTATTATTATTGTGAACGTGTGTAAAATATCCTGCTGCATTTTTCATACATGAAAGGCAATCTCTGTAAAATGTCAGGACCCAATTTTCCAGACGTTTGACATTTGAGTTCATATCTGAACGCAGCTCTACTTACATCAAAGTTCAAAATAGATTGTAACAGTGAGAGGCAGCAATTCTATTTTAATCAAGGACTCACTAAACAATAAAGCAAGTCATTAACTTTTGCTTCACAACAAAGCTTTCTTGTACAAAACTGATTCCTCATCTCCTGTTGTGTAGGTGCAGCCCGGCCAGGGAAACAAGACAGACCTGAGAGACATGCGCTCACTGTCCGGAGGCGAGCGCTCCTTCTCCACTGTTTGCTTCGTGCTCTCTCTTTGGGCCATCACAGAGGCGCCTTTCCGCTGCCTCGACGAGTTTGATGTTTACATGGTAACGAGAGACTGTTTTTACTGGCATTGTTACATCCCTGTGGATGTCAAATCCCTCAACTGTGAAGTATAGTAGCAAATACAATAGACAATTAAAATACAAGGTCCTTCACTGCTGTCTGCCGGTGTTAAGCCTCATTTATTAAACAATGTATCTGCTTTGTTTTGTTCTTTTTTGATTAATTAGGACATGGTGAACAGGAGGATATCATTGGACATGATGCTGAAGGTGGCAAGCGGCCAACGATACAGACAGTTCATATTCCTCACTCCACAGAGCACAGGGTAATTACTAATACAACATCCTTCTGTTTGTATATCAAAGCAGTTTGACCACCCAGATTCTAATTTATTGACTTAGTTACTGTATATTAACTAAGTAAATGAGCTATGATAAGACTAATCCGTTCAGGAACAAAGGTCATGTGATGGTTTGCCTGGGAAAGGGAATTTGCCTTTGAAGCATAAACCTCAAAGGTACGACCACATAGTCATCTTTGCTTTTCCTCTGTTTTTTTTACAGTACACTTCCTGTGAGCAAAATCATCCGCATCCTGCAAATGAAAGACCCAGACCGTGGCCAAAACAATGCACCAGCAGATCAAGACATGGACCAGTAGTGTTCCTGGCTCAGTTTAACATAAGATTGAGTTCCAAGATCCTCCATGAGTCTGACACAGTTGTGCATTGATTCCAGTTTTCAGCGAACAGTTGTTAGTAAGTGCAGCCACATGTTCTTTATTCAGCAAGTTGGCTTCATTTTTTAGGTTTAGTTCAAGCTGTAAATATTCAAGAATAATTGTCTTAAATTGTCTTTCTGTATTGAATTTTTTGCACAAAAACGTGAATCTGAAATTCTTAGTGGGGGGAGGGTATTTTTTTATATCCTTTGTCAAAATAACCGAATGGCTTGTTCAGTTGTTCTTTTTATTGATTAAAGCAAACATGTTCCTAGATAAATTCAGTTTTGGTGTTTTTTTTAATGCATAGAAACATTTTTCAGGATACAGGCAAGAGTGTTGTGGAGTTTTTCCACTTAATTTAGATTTCAGCTAATATCTTGTAAATTTTTCAATAGATCATACTTCATTTTCCTTTTTTGTTGATAAGGTTTTAGGACAGAGTTAACACACAACCCTTTTCAGCTTTTCTTATTCACTGGATAAAAGTCATTTTGATTTAGATCTTCGTTTAAACATTCAACCGGAAACCCTGAGACCTATTGAGGTCAGTCATGTGAGGAAGGATTTGCACCTTTAAGGGCTCTGTGCCAGATCTCCCACACAAGGCGGTCCACTGAAATGCACTTCCACTCATGCATATAACGTCTGTTGACAACATACCTGACCTCCTGCAGGAACAGTGGTACTTTTTTTCCTTTATATCCCTGAGAACTGGCTAAGAGGAGATAACATGAAGCCTAAATCTCTTCCATCAAGGTTGTTTAATAGAAACTCAGCAGCAGCATCAGGTGAGGCTCTGAGCATAGGAGCCGCACGCAAGTACCAGCGACATGTGGACTGTGCGGAGGACTCTTCCTCCACTGACAGCGAGTCGGTGGCAGACAACAGCAGACAACATGAGAGTTGCCACAGAGAAATACACTTTGCGTTTCTGCCGGAGAGGTATGAGCCATTGACGGATGATGAGGCGAAGGAAGAGAAGAAGAAAAGAAAGAAGGAAAAGTACAAAAAAGTAAAGAAGGTTAGTATTCTAATTTCACATTTTTCTTAACATGTTGAATAATGCAGTATAGAGATCCTTCATCTGCTCTATTGTCTTTTTCTCTGTAGCCCCTGTTCGGGTAAGTCCAAATGTGACTCAGATTTTCTCAATATGGCATCAATCAGCCTCAATTTGTTCTAATAGAATCTTAATAACTGGGGAAAAAATCCATCTTCTTGCTGTAAATTAACCTGAAATTTGTAATTCGCACATGTGGGCTATTTGGGCTCTTTGTGTTCTGTGCTGCATCATCATCCCAAATTACCAAATAAAAATCTGGCCGAGGTTTCTGATTATTGAGGTAATTGCTGAATATCTTAAAACAGAGATCACTTAAATGTTATAATCTGAAAAAATATACGTGCTTGATCAGGAATTACCCCCAGACCATATGAATCATCACATACACATATAGCTTTGTTCTCATTCATCTCGGACTACTGGCCTATAACTTCTGGGCTCACATCAGCACAGCCAGAGATGACTCCGACTAAAGAGCCTTGAAGCTTCATTCTTGTCATCTTTCTGGCGTCAGATTACTGCAGCGTGGCAGAAAAAAGTAGTGATCAAATCTGGGTGTTCAGTTTCCTGTCTGTCCTCACTCTTTCCTGCATGGGTCATTTGACAGTGTACCTGCTACATCAATTCTTCTTGTGATTGAAAATAAATACTGTAAAAGGTGAATTCCTTGTTTTGTTTGTTTGCTTTATAACCCAAACACAAGTGAGTGATGAGGAAATGGGTAAAACAGAATCTGCGTAGTTGGCTTTGCTGGGAATACGAGCTGTAAAATGTCAAGGAAACAAATCATAAAGTAATCTTAGACTGCTGTTAATCTTTAACTATAGTTAATCTATTTTATATCACACGTTTATTAGACTCGACATCCAAACTGATGTGTGTCTTCATGGGT